TTCTTCTTTTTTTTGGCTCGTGTGCTGTTGTGTAAGGCCGCGAGTGCATTGTAATTTTTTGTCTAGAGTCGTGCCGCTCCCGGCTCCCGTACATATATAAACACATGCTCGTGATGCATACATACACGCCCGAGTCCCGAGTGCCCTATATCGATTTCGATTAATGGAAAGGGTAATAACAATGAAATATGAATAAAAAATAAGCGCGTGTTTTTAATTATTTCTCGGAAACGTTAACGGTGTAATTACCACCACTGTATATACGCACACGATCTCTGCGTTGCCATGCGAGTGCGTATAGTAACATATATAGTGTTTCGGAAGATAATTTCGCGTGGCACCTCGCGCGCGCTCGAGTGGCATCCGCGCACGCGGAATCGACAACGCATCGGCCGCTGCGCACTGCAAAAATAATTAGCGCGAAATACGCAGAAAAAGAAAATCAGCTTTCTTCACCCCCCTTCTCTGCCTGCCTGCCTACCTGCGCCCCGTTCATCATCATCTCTCTGCCTTTTTTTCTCGCTCTTCTCACACGTGTAATTAGTCATTATCATTAATTGCTCGCTGCGGCACATAACACACATATACAGCGCACACATACACACAAACAGACAAACCATGAAAGAGAAGAGAGAGAGAGAGCAATTACGTGGGAGGTCGCGTTTATAGAATCGAATTAGCCACCGTATGCAATAGTTTTACGTTATAAATAAGCGGCTGCGGCGCAGGTATAGAGTGTACTGTTTCACAGTTCTCACTATATATGTGCGCGCCGACTGCAGAGAGAACAACAACGACGTGCCCCGCGTGCGCGCGCGCGCTCGGGGGCTAATTAAAATATCTCCACAATGCGCGCGTTTATTTTACTCGGTTTGTTGCATGAAAGTTTAGTGTGTGCAGCACTAGTGGTGCTACTGTGCGCTGCGGTATAGTGCAGCAGTGGCGTCACGCTCGCGATTCGCATCTTTTTCAATGCCCGCCGCGCAAAAGTTTTTTTGTCCCCGGCAGCAGCAGAAGCAGCAGCAGAAGCGCTTTTCACAGCGAGGCGTGCGGTGCAGCGCGAGCCGAGCAATCGACATCAAGAGCGAGCGAGCAATTATATACCCGTGTGCGCGCCGCGCGCATTATATGCACAAACACTCACACGGACACATACGCGCACACGTGTGTGCCTGTATACGTAAGGTGATAAATAAAAAATTGTGACGACGATTATTTCGTATAAATATGGATGAGAGAAGAAAAGAGCTGTTGCTTTTGATGTATTGCGCCGTTTTATTCGCTAGCTACTTGTGCGTATACGCGCGCATGCGCACTCGAGCGTGTGGTGCTGCTGCCTGGCACTGGCAGCGCGTCAGGAATGACAGCTTTGTCGTTGTTGCGCGCGCTTATTACACCGTGGTGAGAATTTTTTGACGATCTCTCGTTGTTTTGTTTTATGTGCCCTCGTAACAGTCTGCGAGCGACTAATTCGCAACCTGCGGATTAACATATTCTTCCTCTTTATCTTGCCGGTAACCTTATTTCTCTTCGTTTTTTTTTTTACATAAACTTCACTTTTTTACCTGAATCGTTTTTACTCGCGCGACTCGCGAATAGACGTTGATGACTATTGTTCCGCAAGTGTGCTATAATAGTCGGAGCTTTGACTGTACGCGCAGTAGTAGTGCACTACAGGTTATTTTCACACGGAGAAATGAGTATCCTTGCGCACAGATTATTATGAGTGCGAGAGAGAGAGAGAGAGAGAGATGTTTGGCTGTAGGATTGCACGTGCGAGAGAAAGATGATGATAATGAACGAGGATCGAGGAATGAAGCACTTTGTAGTTATTACGGAATGTTTAATCCGTTTGGCAAAGTGAGCAGCATCGGATGTGAGCGATGAGAAAGCAGCAGCAGCAGGAACAGCATCATCGCGTAAACGTTTTGCGTTCGAACAAACGGTTCCGGCGTGCATTGTTATAGGGATGCAATTTTCAATTAACCAGGCCAAGTTGTTTACTTTTTAAATTAACTTTTAATTGTGGCATTTTTCGAAAATTTGATTGCTCATCATAAAAAATAATTAACCATCGGTAGAACGTTTAATTTTTATTGTCGTCGTTTATAGTGGATACGAAGGATCGGTTTTTTTTCTCGTAAATATCGAAGAAAATGCAAGTATTTCAATTTTCGTTCATTTAGAATATTTTGATTCAAGAATTTTCGATTCCTTTGGCATTCATATTTATTTTCAGCGTCAATTTTAACTGATGATGTTGTTCGCTGTCATCTCTCGAATCAAAGTTAAATGATTTTTCACATTGTTGCCATTTCAAAATGTCAATATGATATTCTAATTCGTAGTTTTACTTTGGTCATCCGGTAAATGAATTAGGTTATTAAGGATCAGGATTTAAATGAGATATGTTGAATAAATTCAAGTGTATTTTTTGAAAGGTTAATAACTTTATTCATTGCGATTTTGTCATTTTCCTTAAAATTTATATTTAATTATCTTACACATGTATTATACAGGTGCAGCTATCGGACTAGCCTAGTTCACTACAATTTTTTTTTCATTCTCGCTCGATTTCACAAATATTGTGTTATTAGTAGTTGCCGATTTTTTTTTAAGCATAATTACTTGAAACTTCATAACTTGCATTAGATAGGCCCCTTTGTAAAAATGAATCATAAGAAAAATTATTTTATAAAATTTTTATTAAATCTTATAAAAAAATTTCTTCTACCAATCGCATGAAGTGCTGTAAATTATTTACGAGGGGAAGTAGTAATGAAACCATGAGTTTTTATGATTTTTCAAAAAATGATACTTCTGTCATCAAAAACTTTTGAAAGTGAAACAATCGATAATCAATTCCAATATTTCACGTGAAATCTTTGCGATTCTGCGAGATCCAAAAAGAAAAAATGTTTTCATGTTTTGAAATACAATTATTTTAATTTTTTTGCGCATGCACTCATACATCCATACATATTTGTGTTCGTTTCTTATATCAATGTAAATTTTTCCACGCGTTCTTGTATATATTATGAATATATACATATACATCAGATATATATTTATTTATAATTTTATCTACATAAAATCTACGGTTTATACACAAGTTCATACTTCGCACCTTTCACAATTATTATTTTTTGTCGAAGATATTTTTTCTTTCTAACTACCATTACATTGATAATCGGATCACAAGAGTGTCATCCCCAGCTCTCAGTTGGTTTTTTTTTATTCATATAACTTCTTTGAAAATTCAAATTCTGCACAATATACACTTGACGACAGAGCGAAAATCATTACATTTAACAGTTTATCGTCAATTGCTTGTTTTTGTGTATGCATATGGGGACAAATATTATACTTGTTTCGCGAAAAAATTAAATACATTAGAGATTCGTAATTTGTTTTTTTGTTTGTTTCAATCATTGTTACATTTATTTATTTGCTTTCATTTTCAACTTGACGCTAGTAGTTTAATCGATACATTCGTGGTAGCATAAAATTTAAATGTACCCATACAGAGAATAATTTATGATGGTGTATTAGAATTTTTTCCGCATTTATAATTAGATATACATTATAATATCACTAGGGCATTTATGTACAAGGACTGCAGATAGAAGAATGTGTTTTTTTTTATATATATTGCCATATTATCACTTAATTTTAATAAATTTTTGCCTTAAAATTCTAAGCACAGGTATAAGGGTTTTTTTGTAGCATGTAAATTCTTTATAGGTCATTTTTCATGAATCGTTATGACATGCATTATACGAAGAAATACAACGTCAAAAGTCTTATTCATAAATCGTTTGTTTTCATTCAATTTCTTCATTACTTTTTTTTTGCCTTATAAACGAGTGAAAATCTCTGTACATAGCGTGGCTGTTTTTTTCGTGCTGTGTGCGTGAATAAAAGTGTTGGTTCATGAGCAGGTTCATTTCGAATATCTCGTCGTGAAGCAGTCATGGGTAGGGGGAAGTTAAAATTCATTCATCAGCACATACTTGAGTCGTATGTGTCTCGGTGGGCGCCATTTTGAGTTGTGTCCTAGGAGAACAAAATGGCATCCCGAACCTAACCTCGAAACTTTCTCGAATAAAAACAAACTTCTAATGGTATCTCGACAAAAATAAGATTTACTCGCTAAATGATTTATGTACATATGTACGATTATTACCATTACAATTTATAATAATAATAATAGTACTGAGGAATCAAATTGTTTTGTTCATTTTTTTTTTGTTTTTTTTTTAACGTACGGTTTGTACATACTGTTAATGCAATCGATGATATACATTTTCAAACCATTCGATTCGAAGCATTTTTTTTAAAAAACATGAAATCACAACAACAACATAAAATATGTCTAAAACAAAACTGCCCTTCACTTTGTACGAGGTACGCGTGACGGTGTGAGTGTGTCTGTATCTGTGTGTTTGTATGTGTATGTATTTATAACAATAATCAAAGAATCGATCGGTTACGAGAACAACGTCGTAACCCACGCCTCGCGAAATATCACGCAGTGTCTTTTTGTTTTTTCTTCCACTTTTTCACTCGCATCGTCGCAACGTCGAATTTAATTGTGCTCTGGTCACAAAGAGAGAGAGATGAATATAATATATTTGATAATATTTATATTTACGAAGGTATGCGTAATTAATTAAAAGTTTTTTTTTATATTCATTAAAATATGTACAAGTTATACGTGTGTTAGCCACCGGCTTCTCTCCCGTCGATATCGTCTACGTCTTTTCTTCTTTATAATATCGCACAAACACTTAAACCGAACAGTGTCTGTCCAATTGCACTTTAAAATCCATTAAAAGATATATTATTATTATATATAATACGCTTAGTCATATATTTATATACGTAAATAAACGAGGGGATCTGTGTGTGAGTTTGTGTGTGTGTGTTTACGTACGCACGCGGTTGGGGGCGCGGGGTCACCACCATCCCCCGAGACGCACGTCGTTGCTTTTTTTTTTTTAATTTTTGGGGTTTACTTGCCGACAACCAAGTCTCGTTTAAATCGCTTCTACACCTGGTTGCTACGAAGCCGGCCCGGACGTGGAGTCGGGTTGGGCAGCGTCGGGTCCGCCACCGCCGCCCTTGTTAACTTTGTTCGGATGATCCTCGGCCAGCGAGCGCGATGAGGAGGCGGCGTCGTTGCTCTCGGTGTTGCCGGCAGCACCATCGTCGTCGTGATCATCGACGTCGTCGCGACGACGATGCTGCTGCTGATGCTCGGCCACCTTACCGCCGTATTTCCGATCTCTCGTCGTCGTTGAGTCACTACCACCACTACCCTCGATCACCACGTTATTGTTGAGTCTGCCACCGCTGCCGCTGTTGCTACCGCCGCTGCTGCGATTGTCCTGTCACGGGCTCCCGGCGCCGTGATCCGACTCGGATCTGTGCGGACTCGTCCTACTGTGACGCTTGTCCTGCAGCCCGTTGACCATGTTCTCGATGGACTTGAGCTCGCCCGTCGCCGAGCTGGCTATGCTGCCGGCGGGCGTGGGCGAACCCGTGGGCGGCCTCGGCGGCGGCGAGCGGGGACTGATCGTGCCGCCCCGACTGCCCGGCGTCACCGTCTCGAACGCGGAGCCGGGCGAGGGCGCGTGCGACGGCAGGGTGTACGGCGCGTAACGATGATTCGCCTTGAAGGTCTGCAGCGAGTTCATCAGGTGTTGCGGATTGTAGTGGCTGAACAGCGACGAGTGCTGAGCCGCCAGGGCGATCTGCGCGTTGAGCAACATGTTCGTCGTGACCGAGCCGTGCAGACCCAGCGGCGAGGGCGGCATGAGGTGACTCGGCGGCGGATACAGGCCCGACACCGTCGGGTACAGGTAGGGTATCAGGGGCGGATGATGCAGCGGCGGTCCCACGGTAACGTCGGGTCTGGGCCCCTCGGAGCCGTGATGGGCGGCCAAACGTTCGCTCTCGGAGCCCGAGGACTCGCTGCCGTCGTGACTGATGCCGTCCCGGTCGTGCGAGTGCGATCTGTGATGATGCGAGGGCCGAGGCGTGTCCGGACCCACCACGTCCAGCAGCTTGTCGTCGTCGTCGTAGTAGTCGTTGGCCGAGTTGGAGGAGCGGCGATGCTTGTCGGGCGAGCCCGGACCGCCGAGGCCCGAGCTGCTGAGGCGAGAGCCGCCCCCGGAGACCGAGAGCAGGGACTGCCGGCTAGAACAAAAATAGAAGCAGTTTCGATAAGTATTCGCGTTCTCTGCGTTGAACGAACAAAATATATATTGTATATATCGAAAGAAAAAAAAACTGGCAAATGTATTTAATGGAAATGTCATCGAGCGCGAACCGGTCGATTCGTTTGCGCTGTAAACCAGTTGGTCAGAGAGAGAGACGCCGATAACAACAAGTGCGCGGCTCATCGATGACAATAAAACTTGCATTTGTAAACTGCATATCCGCGCACTTTGTTCGCGAAGGTGTACTACGTGTACGCATAATGCGCGCCTACACACACTCGCGTATCTCTCTCGACGTCGTCTCTCGCGCTCGAAACTTGTACTTAACAAATGGTATCTCTCTCTCTCTACCATGTGATACCACATGTTGTGCACAGCGCGAGTCACCGTATACGTGTATGGTAGCACCGAGAGTGAATTATCTTAATTGCACCTCTGCTGCAGCTCTCTGAGAGCGGAGCAGCGCATAGCCGCGCTGACTGTATACTCGGGCGCGACAGTTCGCCGCGTGTGCATGTGCATGTGCTGCTGCTGCTGCTTCGTACGAGCCCATGAATTCTCGTATGATATACGGCGCGCGGACACATCAAAGTAGTACACGCACTGCGAAGAAGACTATGTGTGTGCTCAATCTCGATCTTCTCGTTTTTCTGTCTCCACCACCACCTCTCGCTCTTCTCGACGTACACCTACGCGCGAATTTTTCAAGGCGACGATACGAGCTCGCCGCGTGTCGCCTCCCTGTGCGGATATCAAATGTACGCACAATAAGGAACTTTTCGGAACGTTCAATTTTAATTATAAATACATGTATAGAGGTAGGATTGCGGCGCTAAATCATCGGTTAACTAATTGTATTAAAATATATTCGTGCGACGTCGTCGTCGTCGTCGTCGTCGTCGTCGCGGGTGCTAAGTACACCAATGGCTAATAGTAAAGCAAGGGAATTAATGCGCGAGAAGAAGAAGAAAAAAGAAGAAAAAAAGTCGGTTAAATCGGTCGATGCTTGCGTGGTTATAGTAGCATCAGCAGCAGCTAAAAAAGAAGAAGAAAAAAAGCACACGCACACAGAGTCAGGCAAAGTCGTTAACGATTCGCGCGCGCATAATATGCAGTAGGTCGAAGTGTGTCGATCGCGCGCGCGTCTGTGTGTGACCAGTGCAGCAGAAGCCCAAAGGGCAACCATACAAGCTTTAACACAAACGCGTGTTTCTCTGCGACGACGAATGTGCAGCTCGTGTATATAAGTAAGTATACACGACGATGACACAGAGTCGGAGTGTGAATATTTTTGTGCGCGCGAACACGACGATTGTGTGTCGTATGTGTGTGCGTATGTGTGTTTCGCGATGTAGTTCCACACGGCGCACACGTGTACGTGTGTCCGTTGATGCAATCCAATTTTCTCTTGCGAATCCTCTCAAGATTAAAAGAGAGAAAAAAAAATAGGGAAAAAGAGACGGAAAAAAAAACGGTTACGATGACGACAACGACGACGGACGGTCACTGCGACAGCGAAATCTTTCTCTCTCCGGTGCAACGAGTGGTATCATTCGGATACTATATGCTCGTGTACACTCGTCTTTTTATCTCGGTACACACTCTATAAACGTGTTTATTCGCGCCTCCGATAACAAATGACCCAATAATTTACAATTGAAATGTTTTAAAACAATGCATGACCATTTATTGCTGTTGCTAATTTTGGATTTTAAATGACAATTTAATTGTTTCCACTACTTTCAATACGATAATATTAATTCAAGTTTTCGTCGCTAGATGGCGAGTGACCTTATTTCTGTAAATGTGCAAGTGGCAAAGTCAAAATATTTATATGAAGCCCAGTCTTTTATGGCAATGAGAGAATAATTGATGCTTTTTATTTTACTTAGTAAGCACACATTTATCGCCAAACATAGCCGCACGAAAACGAAGTGCGGCGCCTGGTGGTGAATTTCGTCGGTTGTGTGTGTGTGTCTGTGCGTCGATGCGAGCGAGCCCATCTTATATACATTATATATACAGAGACTCGCTGCTGCTGCTGCTGTTGTGCTATGCTGCATATACGCGACATGAAGGCTTAACGCGCGAGCGCGTGGAGGCGCTTCCCTAATACCGTGTAATACGATCAGACGACAATATTGACAACGACGACGACGACGGCAGTGGCGGCGGCGGCGGCGACAACGACGCGCTCGTGCAGCCGATGCAGCCCTGTGTGTGTGGGTGCATATGTGTCTGCAGTCTGAGTCTAGTACCCGTGTCTGTGCGTTTGCGTATGTGTGGATGCGCGCGTGGGTGCAGCGAGCGACTGATACGTTATAGTTACAGAAGGACGCGACCGAAAATACAGTAAAAAAGAAGAAAAAAAGGGAGCGAGACGCCGATGTGCGCGTTGCACATGCAGTTTGCTGCTTCTCTCTCTCTATACGCACACAGCACGTTTTTACGCGCGGCAAATCGATATTCTCTGCGTATCAAACGCACTTGTGTATGTGCGTGTGTGCGTATGTAATATAATGTATGTACCGAAAAGTTAGGTGGCAGCGGACTCGACTCCGACTTTGTATGCACCCATGATGCGTGCGTTACATGCTCGAGTCGTCGAGATGTTGCGTGTATGCGTGTGTGCTGCAGCCTCGGGGCTCTCGCGTCGATGATCTTCAACGAGACAGAGAGAGAGAGAGAGAGACGCGACGACGATCGCGATGGGTGCGGCTGCTGCTGCTGCTGCTGCTGCTCTGTGCCTCCTCCTGTTTGCATATCATTACGCGCTCGTTATGCGCCGATATTAAGATCAATTTTTACTCTACGTGATCTCGGGCAAAAGGGTTATTTTATTAAGCATTAATATCCAAAAAAGTAAAAAAAACTATTCCTCGACGAATTTTAAAAAAATTATCGAGGATAGCGAATCCCGTACATGGATAAAGTTCAATTTATAATGACCGCACTTGGTGTACTCGTGAAAGAGAGCGAGAGAAAAGCGAGAAGCGTAATTATATATCGGTGCGCGCATTATTCAAAACGCGGCGCAGGTATTTTCTATATAGCAGCGGCCAAACAAGTGGCCAGCGCAATGTTGTGTATAATAAGTTCCTCGCTGCATATGTATATAGCGAGTTAGAGAGAGAGAGAGATCCACCCACATCGAGCCGAGCGCGCTCGACTACTAACGGGGCATCGCTATGCTAATCCGATGATTGGCCATGTTCCAGCGCGCGCGCGCGTCTTCTTTCGCATGCAACCCTCTCTCTCGCTCCCTTTTAAACATATACATATCCATTTTCAAACTCTACTCTATACGCTCTATGCGCGTTCGTGTAGCTATATATATATACAGGCAGTAGAGAGGGAGCATAAGCAAAAACTAACCCTTATTCTAATTAGCCTACTGCCGACCCATAGAACCGCAACATCAAGCAGCTGCTTTGCATATTTTCTCGATTAACTCGTAGCTCTTTAAATATATATACGCGCGCATACACACACACATAGATAGAGCTGCTGTACACACTCTGTTGATATTGCGTGCGCATATTTTCGTGAAAATTAACCGCTAACACACGCACACACTGTGCGCGCGCGGCGAACGTGTACGGCTAAATTTTGCATTCTTAAACGCCTCGACGTAGTAGCAGTGGTACGGTATATAGCAGCTTATACACAGGCAGAGGCTACACTGCTCCAAAACGAATCTAGCTGACTTTTGCGTTTTACGCGTAAAATAGTTGTGTATTATACGCGCGGCGCGTAATACTTTTGGCCCTGTACGCGTTGGCCCCGTCCGCGCAGCATTAATTCTCTCCATTTACGATATATAACCATATAATATATAGGATCGCGTCTCTGTTCGTCTGCAACTAATTTCCCATAAGCTATGCTGCTTTACTATATGTGCACTAAGGGCTGCTGCTGCTGCTGCTCTCGTGCTGTTACGTAAGCGCTTCGTCGCTTTTGCATCTAGGCGCATTATGGAAAATTCACGTGCACATGCACACGACGACGCGCTTCTCGCGCTCACACTCTATACAGGCTAGAGAGAGAGAGAGAGCTTAATAAACCCCGATGCGCATGTATTAAGTTATGTGTTCGTGCATATTTCGCTTCGAATTATGAAATATGCGGAATTTTCTGTTTCTGTCTTCGGGCTCTCTCTCTCTTTCGTCTAAGGTGTTCTTTTGGAGTTATTTCACACCGCGAGCAACCAAGTAATCGGCTTACTTTACCGCCCTGTGTATGTGTCGTCGTCGTCGTCGCAAAGGCAGCCAAAAGAAAAAAAGTACCTACATTTATAGGGAATTAAAGTCGCGTCGTATCTTCATCGTTGCCTTTACTTTGAATATTATAATCTGCGCGACACCCCGACGTGTTGCCCGAGTATACATACGAATGTGTATAACGTTTTCCTTTAGATCTCTCTCTAAGCGCCAGGAAAAGCGTCCGGATCTTCTCGAGCGTGCCCTGTAATTCACTGAATGCGTTTAAGCTCTACCGCGCCTCGAGATATCGTCACGTATTATCGCGTCTCCAGCTATCTCTCCTCCACTTGCTTCTTTCTTTTCATGTCCAACGACATAAAATTATAAAGTTAAAGATTATATTAGTGCCGCGCTCTGGGTATAGAGAATTAATAAGTCGTGCACATACACGTGCATACGTATATAGAGAGACGACGACGAGGACGACTTCAAAGCGCTCTCCTCTTATAACGCGAAAAAGATCAGAGGAGAAAAGGAGCGCGCGAAACGGTGCAAAACTGTCATCGTGACTGCAAAATTTAAGCTTAATTAACCGAAATGAAACAAGCCAGGTATCGCCTCGAAGAATCAAACGACAAGCCAAATCATCGTCACTATTTTCGGGTCGAAACGAAAAAGAAACGACAAAAATTGTTGTTCAAAAAGACGCCGAAGAAGAAGAAGAAGACGAAGAAAGAAGGAGTATAAGAAGGATAAGGAGAAGGAAGAAGGCGAAGAGGACAAACGGCGAACGACGACGCAGAAGAAACTGTATGCTCGCTCTTGGTGTCAAACGATGTGTAAAAAATACATAGTGCATTCGCGCGCGCGCGTGCATAAATGTGTGGTGTGCGCAGGAGGATAAGCAAAGCGCGCCATATTGGATTTCGCGTCGTCGTCACTCGCTCGGGCATATTTATTATTATATAGCGAAGGAAAAACGCGCCAAGCGCCGAGGAATTTGATTTTCGCACCGAGTTTTAGAGATGCGTAGATAATAGTTACGGCCTGCTTGCTTGCATATATTCCATGCATACGTAACGATATACGCGAAGCGGTGGTGGCGGCGCGTCATCCTGTGCAAAATCCACTCTGATACTGGCCAAAGAAGATACTCGCGCGCATAAACGCAAATAATATTCCTTCTTACGCATACACACGCATACACGTATAGAGGAGCAGAGAGCCAGCATAGATATAGATGTATATATATTCCATTACCACTACCCTCTGAATGTAAATTGAAATGACGGTGGCGAGGATCTGCTCTCTCGCTTTTGCGTCGAGTTAGGAGAGCAGCAGCAGCTATTTACGTGCGTATATATAGCAGCTACTGTATAGCAGCAGCACCATAAGCTCGTAAACTCGCAATATTGAATACAAATGAGGCTTGATACCAACCCCAAAGAAGCAGTGGCGGGTATAGCACAGTAGCTGTATCTATTCTCGTGTAGGGTGCAAATGAGCTCGAGGGGATCCTCCGTTGCTGCTGCTGCTGCTACTGAATAGAGCAGGCAAAGGCCCGAAATGAAAGAGATCAATTGCCGGGGCTCTCTCGTATATATACGTATTTACGGGCTGTTTATTATACAGCGACGTGTTTACGACGACGACGACGACGAGGACATATGTCGTCGTTTTAGAGCGATTTTTCAAACCGCAAAACTCGCATTATAATATACGTGTGTGCGGATATATCGTTTTGATTCGGCCCGTATAGGAGCAGCAGCAGTGTCAAGTTGTACGAAAATATTATTACATTTGCCAGTTCATTAGGGATATTATGATGTATGACGGTTATGAGTACTAATAAGATACTTACTTCTTTTCGCGTTTGCCGGCGCCGGTGTCTCGGAAACCTTTGGCGAATGGATTATTGTCGATTTTCAGCTGCGTTATCTGCAAAAGGACATAAAAACACATTATTATTCGCATATGATGCACAGTCGAAACTCGACTTTTTTATCGCGCGGCGTCTCGCGAGATATAGAGTAAGTTATTTTTTTATTTATTATTTTCATTCGACGACGGCGATAGTCGGACGGTCGCGGCAAATGAGAGCTGGGTGCACACAAAGCTCCATTGAGAGCAGCGTATATTATAACGCCACGTATCAAGGTCGCGACACGCATCTCGCAGACGAGCTTCCGATTTTTCCTTCTCTCCGTCTGCTCTGCCATTAACTTGTCGCGCTCGCTCATTCATGTCTATATTCCGCCACCATTCAGAGCTGCGCGCGGCTTTTGCCACGGCCCATTCAATCGACGACGACGACGACGAGAGCACTGCAAATCTTTCGCCGCGCGCATTCTCGGCCAGTAACGCATTTATTTATTTTTTTTTCAAATTCTTCTTTTTCTTGCCGCGCCTTACAGTCGATGCAGCGCAAAACAGTGCAGAGCCTTGTGTGTCTCCCTCTCTCCGCGGGAGACGCGCGAGTTTTATACTGCATAAAAGCTTTATCTAAATGGAGAATTATTGAGAAGCTGCGAGAATTAATTGAATAGCTCTCGCGCGCGCGCTACGTTTGATGCCAGCCGCGATGCTTACGTATATCGTATACCCCGTCTCTCGCTCTGCTGCGTGGCAGAGAAATATGCATAAAAGACTCGTTTTTAGGATTATACCGGACGATTCGGTAAAAGAGAGAAGAGAGCTTTTCCACGAGATTCGAGTTTGAAAGCGCTTTTTTGTTCTCCCCGAGAGCTTTTGCAAGCCGCGCGCAGCTGCGGATCGCCCGATGACAAAATGATAATACATGCGCACGCAAAAAAATAATCAGCGGCAGCCGCACTTTGGTTGACTCTCTCGACTTACCTTTTCGTTTTGGTAGGCGGTGACGGCGATAAATTCCGTCTCTTTGAACACGTAACTCCTGAACGTGGAGTAGGGCAGCTTCAGTATATCATTCGCCCGGACCAGATGAAACCTCGGCTGGTACTTGTGCATGGAATTGAGAATCGTCTGTAACATAGAGCAGGGAGCATACATTGGGACAGACTGTTTTATACTTGGCCGTAATGACGTATTTGTAATAATTTTTTTTATTTTTCTTAAAGACAGAGAAGAAGCATAAAAATATGTATAGAGAGAAATGAGAATGAAGACAATTCTATACTCGACTCGACGAGCGATGCTAAAGAGTGTGTCTCGTAATGGTGTACTTGTTCTCTCTCCCGTAACGACGCGACGCTTAATTTTCCGTTAATTTTTACGTCGAACGAATTACTAATTTAGACGAGAGAGCGAGGCAACATTGCTCTGGGGGTCACACGGCGCAACGAAACGCAAAGCCTAAGAAGAAAAAAAAAAGAGTAATAATAATGATAATAACCAGAGGTCCCAGGCAAAATTGCTCGCGAAGATTAGCCCGTGTATACATTATACTGAACTCGTCGTAAGGAGCCCATGGCGCGCGCTCGCTCGCGTTTATCTTTATTACTACCGAGGAGAGCAGCGACGACTGCGCAGCGCAGCGTTATAGAACAATGGATATTTTAATGTATCCATGAAGAGGCTATTTACGAGCTCTTAGGCAGACCATTGGCTGCGCGCACACATACACACAAAATTCAGACGCTGTGCGGTAGATTACACAAACTTATGAATGTGTCTGTGTGTGTATAATATAATAAATACGATGCGCCACCGAGATAATAAATGAACCTTTAAAACGATGATCACTGCGCGTTCGTAACGATTTTTTAATAACTTTGCACACAACAACGGGCTGAGCTATGATGTATATAATGTCTCGCGACTAAAAAAATAAAAAAAGTTTTCATCAACTTCCGCGTAACCGCGGCGTCGAGGAGAACATTATTATGTATCTTATAACAAAGAAAGCTCAGCAGCCTTGCCCGAGCATTATTATCCATGTATGGAGCGTGCGCTTAAATGTATATGATATTCTTTTTTTCCTCCTCGTCAAATCATCGCTTCGCGATACATATAATACGGAGCTGGCAGCGATTGTTAATTCATCGGTCGGAGGCGGTCGTCGCTGCGGCCACTTTATTATTTTTTTTTTTACACTGATATATAGATCTCGACACGTTGTGCAATAATGTAGGTTCTCGAAGGCGTGTATGTGTATGTGTGCAGCAGTATCCATAATAAGTATATAGCTCGCGCGACTCGTTACGTACACGACGTACGTCGACGACAAGTGAGTGAGGACATGTGCTACTACTACCACTACAGTGTGTGCGTTTGTCGCGAAATTGTCATCGACGACGTCTCTGAATTTTTCATACACACACACACCGAAGCTATACCACCTTTACTTTGCGTGGTGGTGGCGAGGTAATTCGATCGGAGTCGCGAAAGCGCGTATTATCGCGATAATAACAAGTCTCGTCCGTATCCTATCCTATAAATACTGCGTTATAAAATATTCTTTTGAATCGTATGTGCATTTTTACTTGCTGCTGCTATCTGCCTACCTATAAGAAAATTCGACGCAATGAGCGATCACGAGCTTAGGTGCTCAACAACGCGAACGCCTCAATTAAGAGGCGCTCTGGTTAATTTGAAAATAATTCATAACGTGTACGCGATTTCACCTCAGGTATTACCCCCCTCCCTTCCCTCACATATATCGTACGTAAAATATTTATATACTGTGTAGCTCGGTTGTTTTTTTTTCCTTTTTCTTCATTCGATGCAGAGTTTTTAATGAATAATATAAAAAAGTATTCGATGCTCGCGCGCACACGTGTGCACACACGTACGATGGACTCGGATCCTTGGAATAGCCATTACCAGGCTCAGGGTTGGTTGGTTGATGAGAGCATAATGTAGGCGCGCGCGCTTGGCGTGCAGCGCAGCAGTAGCGGCTCTCGCGCTTCGGCACAAAGGAAAAATAATTAGCGCGAGCGGCGATAGCAGCAGCGGCAGCGTCGTCGTCGCCGTTGTGGCGGCGCGGCATTAGCCTATCGAAGCTAAATACCTTTATAAACCCGACTCGATTATAAATGCTCGGCAGGCAGCTCTCTCGACGGATCACGTTTTATGTGTGTGCCTCTGAGCGCGCGAGATATGTGCATATAAGTTTTGTAAAAAAAAAAATAAGGATGATGTGCGAATAAAATATGTGTATGATACGTAACGCGCGCATTATACGAGCTGCTGCGCATAGAGGCGAGGAACAATCGATTATTGTACGCGGATATATCGAAGGAAAAAAGTTGTACTTAATAACCGACTCGGTGTTGAGAGCTGTGTGGTGCACTGCATAGCAGGACGACGATACACACACATATAAAGTGTGCTTGCGTGTGGGTAAAGAAGAGATCGAGGAGTATCCGTGTGTGTGTGTCTTCATGCATATGGCCAAGAAGGGAGAAGCGAGGAGAGAAGAAAGTGAAAGAGTAAAAGAGAGACAGAGAGAGAGAGAAACACAGAAGCCGACCGGGGCCTAATGACTCTGTCCGTACTAATCTCGGGGTGTTATCTTGCTATTGAGAGTCGGCTACCTGGATAGGCCCACCTACTTTGAATCACGAGGCTCGAGAGAGCATGTTTATATTTAGTCAAGGAGCGAGAAGGACGAACAAAAAGACACACACATACACACGTACACAGGGCCACCTCTCCTATGTATATAATATACAGCACATCATCCACCGTACATAATGTGAGTGTGTGTGCACAAGTGTTATACAGTGCTATGCGTGCCGAGGCGCCGGCGTTTAAGGATTATAACGAAGCAGTCAGGATGATGACTTTTCGAAAAACATTTTTCTCTCTCTCGTTTTAACTATACAGCGCAACACTGACACATATCGTAGGCGTGTATACTACCCGATGATGATGAAGCGTTTATGAGCTTTTGCGTGCATTATATATAGCAGGAGCGAGCTCGCGCGTCTGCAAGGATGAGGAATGTTACGATTTTTTGCAACTATAATATAACAAATCGCGCATGGACAAAAAGTAATGTTTCGTGCAAGGTACATATAGGTAAGCGCGCATTTGTCGCGCATTTTTTTCGCCAACCTTCTGGCTTCGTCGTTCTCTCTCTCTCTCTCTCGCCCTCTCACTCTCGCATAAATATAATACCGATAGGTTCTTCTGTGTATATGTGTATTTGTGTGTGTGGATATACATTCGTTTCGGACGTTTGCTCGCGAAAGTTGAACGTCGAATATACCTTTATACCTGTATACAGAGAGAGAGAAAGAGCCCCGTATTATATGCCTGCGAAAGGTATATATATGTGTTATATGGTATATAGCGCGTCTAAAAGGGACTCTCCCGGTTCGGTTTTAACGAGCTGCACACGGCTCTCTCTCTCTCGGCTCGGGCCGGCCGGACGGCAGCGGCGCCTCCGTGTCCGACTCTCTTTTAGCCTTTTTTGTTTTGTTTATACATATACCAACTTACACATACACACACACGTATATCCACTTACATTCATACATATACACACGTACTATACTCTCTTTCGCTCGACTCCTTTCTGCGCGCCTCCTCTCCATGGCACGCAGGCGTATATATATACAGGCCAATTTGTTCGTCCTCGCCCTTTCGCTATACATGTGCGTGTGTGCATGTACGTGTGTGTCCTTCGCGCGCGCGCGTTTATATACATGCATAATATACCGAAAAAGCGTCGGAGGAGAGATCTGCGCCGGTGTATTTCAACAATATATTGTGTTGTGTGTGGTACACTTGATGCGCGCGCGCGTGAATCTACCGATTGATGCAAAATCGGATCAGTTAGCTCGTTTGAGAAGGAAAAACTTGTTGTGGTGTATAACTGCGCCTCGGAACTTTGTGAAGCGAAGATTTCCTTACACTTCTTTTTCCAATTTTTTCTTTTTCTATACTACAAACGAGGAGCGTTTAAGAGAACAAACCGATATTTTAAGAGAGAGAGAGAGAGAGAAAAGAATGAGAGAAAAAAGGGAATCTTCGGCTTTGCGCCTCTGCGCGCGAGTGACAAAGAGAAAAGGCAAAATTATTATTCTTTTGGCATGGGCGACGACGACGACGACTCAGCATCAGCAGCAAGGTTCGCTCGCGTAAAAGGGATCTGCTGCTACCTTTAGCCAAGCTACTAATATACACAATATCGCGAGACTTTGATCTGCGGCGACCTCGTGACGCCAGTCTATACTCTCTTTCACTTTTTAAAGGAGTAGAGGCATGCCTGCGAGCCCAGAGAGAGAGAGAGAGAAGAAGGAAGACGGCGACAACGGCGACGAAGGAGAAGCACACATACATACACACACACATTATATATATTCACAAGAAGGAGAAGAGGCAGAAGAAACAGGAGAAGGCAAAGGAAGAGCGCTAAGACAAAAGCCATCGATAAGGAACGAGGGAATACGAAATAAGCTGCCGCTGCCGCTGCTGCGAGGAGAGTCTGTGTGTTTTTCGACACACACAGCGGTGGTCGTCGCGAACTTGTCGCTATAGAATACATTTTGCGTGCATTCTCTTATAGACTGTGTGCTAGTGCATGTATACGACCACACACATATGCACACTGACACGCGTTTATAATCGTCTACGAAATCGATTAATTTTTTTTTTTCAACGATCGTTTTGCCCATGCACGAATGAATCACAATATTACGACGCATATACATTATCATATGTATAATATGCGGTCGCCACAGACTAGCTTAACATATATAGCCATGTTTGAAAGTGGCGCCACCTCGTTAACGGCCGACTAAAGCTGCAAAAACTTTTTATTCCTTATCATGTATATGCGCCCAGATTTGGAGAGAGAGAGAGAGAGACCATGGCACAACACCCGATGCAAGTCGGAGTTTCGCGCCGGCTCCTGCACTTTATTGACCGGTTGGAATTTATATACATTCCAACGAATTTATGCACGGGGTTATACGGGGCTCTAGCGCCAAGTCGAGCAACTTCTGTAATACTTGGACGCGTGCGTGTAAGTATAATACTGCGCACTTACACCAAGAATTCGTCAAAATGAAATT